AAATTGAGATATAAAAGACAGATCATCAAGGAAGGTTTCATGGAAGTAGAAAATCTTTGAGATACAGTAAACAGAGGTATAAAGGCTACAAAGGAGCTTGATATGTTAACAGTGAAAGTCAGTGACCCCAGATGTGAGAATTGCCAAGGTTGCATTGCACCTAACAAAGTGTTAAACTGAAAAAGCAGCTAAACGCTGGTGGGCATTCTGGGCCTGATTAATGCCAAACTTCTATGAACTATAACAGTGTGCCAGCATAGTTGCCTAGTCTTTCTCTGTTTCCTTTACTGTTTGTTTGTTTGTTTGTTTGTTTAAAATATGTGGGGCCAGACACCGTCACACCAGCAGAGAGGGTCTGGAAACCCAGTGTGTGTGGGTCCCAGGCAGGGTCCCAGGGTGTCACGACACAGCACAGGACTGGGCACGAGGATCTGCTCATTCATGGGCATGGGGGCTGTGGACCATCCAGGGAAGGGGGCCTGGGGCTGCGTGGGAGGGCAGACTGCTGAGGGGCAATGTGACGGGTGAGGGGTCACTTCTTGGGGACCTCCACCAACTAAGCTACTACACTTGCAGGAAAATGAGGGGGCTGAGACAGGGTGGTGTGGTGGAGGAAAACCGGAGGACCTTTCAGGACCAAACTAATAGACCTACCCACGTGGGAAACCTGTGCTGGCCTTGTTGGTACCAACCACGTAGCGGTACCACCACCTGCTGGCACACACAAAAGCAATGGTTGGGAGTCTTTTCTGGCAGGGCTTGACCACAGTCCCCACCGGTGAGTGCAGACATACAGGGAGAACCATGTCACACTGGGCCATGACATTAACCAGCATGCAAAAGAATCAGGTCTGGCAGCTGATTTTGTGGAGGATTTGTGGGCTCACCCCTTTGGAACTACCATATCAGCTGGTTTGCTGAAGGGCTGGGAGTGATGAGGGGCCACGCTAGGCATGACTGTGAAATTCACCAACATTCATGAGTACTGCGATTGGGAACATGCCAGGCTGGTCCAGGCTGTAGCACTCACAGGCGCACCAAGAACTGGGTGTGGGGTGGGCCAAGCCACACATGAACCAGCATACACAAAGGCCAATGGGGTCAGTGGCAGACCGTGCTGGTTAATGGCATAAAACCTACCGGCACCCAGAACTGAGCCTGGGAGTGGGCCTGATAAGGGGAACTTGCGGAACTCCCCTGGTAGGTGGCACCTCCCGCTGGCAGGTATGGAGTCTGGACTGGGTGTTGGTCAGGCTGGGGAGAGATGCTTCACTTGTCAGTAGGTGTGTGGCTTGGCTTTGGGGAGGCAGACAGGCAGAGGAAGCCAAACCATAACTACTGGCATGCATAGGATTCAGGATAAGGTGCATGTCGTGCAGGGCTAAGCTATCATACCTACAAGTTTTCATGAAAGCCAGGGGTTGGGGACAAACTGGGCAGGGCTAGGCTGTCCCACACCAGTAAGAGTTGGGACTAGAGAGCAGGCTGGGCCAGGTCAGGCTGCAATATCTGATGTCAAAGGCCAAGACAGAGGATGGACTATGCTGGTTGGATGAGAGCAACCATCAGCATATGCAAGATCTGTGGCTGGGAGCAGGCCTGCTCAGGGAGTCAAGTGGACACACCTACTGAGATGCAGTTCCCACTAGTCAGCACAAGAGCTAGAATGAGGGCTGACGAACTGGGCTAAACTGGCTACAGGATCCCTCACCATGGGTGTGGACTAGATCTGGGGTGTGCCAGACTACGGTAGGCTCCAGTACCTGCTAGAGCTTACGAGAGCCAGGGTAAGTTTAGGGCAGGATGGGTTAAGTCTCAATACACACTGAACTACACAAGAGCTGGGTCTAGGGTGGGACTGGGTTGTAGCACCCTACAGTAAGACTCAGAATGGGTGTGGGCTGGTCAGACAAGGCTGCTATACCCGCCAACACAGGAGGCAGGCCAAGTCATAGAGGTCAAGAACCCGTCGTCAGGGTACATAGGATCTGCCACTGGGTGGTAACTTGATGGAGGACCTTGGGGGAACTCCTCTGCAGGATGCAGTCCCTGCAGGTGAGTACAAGAACCAAGCCGGGAGCAGCCCAGACCAGGTCAGGTTACAGTAACCTGCCGGCATACATGTGGATCAGGTCTGGGGGCAGGCCAGCCTGGGCTAATTTATAACACGCATGGACAGATTTGAGAACCAGGACAGATGCAAGACAGGCCGGATTGGGCTACAACACCAGCCAGTTCACATTAGGACTGGGACTGGTGGCAGTCCAGGCTGGGCTAAGCTGTAGCATTCACCAGCATGAGCTGGGACTGTGGGCAGGCCAGGTCGAGCCAGGCTGTAACACCTTGCCAGTGAATGCCGAGGGGAGGGAGACATGCCTTGCCAGACTGGGACACAGCATCCACTAGCAGAAGTAAGACCAGGGCGGGGGCCCAGGGTGAGAGGGCAGCGAACTCAGCAGTAGGGCTACAAGGACTCCCCTGGTGGGCTACTGCTCCTGCTGGTGAGTGAGAGAGCTGGGACTAGGGGCAGATTAGGCTGGGCAGAGCTAAAAAACCCATGGCCTGCATGTGAGCTGGGTTAGGGGGAGAACCAGGATGGGCTAAGCCACCATATCCACTGGCACAAGCAGGAGCAAGAGTAAGGACAAACTGGTTCCCTTTGCTGCAGGATCAGCTATCAGGTGCTGGGACTGGAAACAAGTCCTGTCAGATTAGACCATAGAACCACTTGTAAAGTACAAGATCCAGGGCTAGGAGTGAGTCTAGTAGGGAAATTGTGGGCAAGCCTCTGATGGGTTCCAGCTCCCAGGATATGAGCATGATAACCAGGAGTTGAGGCAGACCTGGCTGGATCGGCAGTGGCACACACCAGCATGAATATGAGTGGTTAGTAGAGACAGGATAGTTGATCGGGCTGAACTAGGCTCCAACACCCATTGATACGCATGAGAGCTGGATGAGATGGACTGGACCAGACAGCTGCACATACGAGAATGCACAGGAACCATGGCTGGGAGTGGGCCTGGTGGGGAATGATGGGGTCACTTTGACTAGGCTGTACTTACCAGTGTGTGTGAGGGCTGTGTGTATGGCACAGTGGGATGGGCTGCAGCATCCATTGATTTGCATATGAGATGGGGCTGGAGACAGAACTGACCTAGCAACTGAAACCACCAGTGTGTGTGCAGGCTGATGTGGGTGGTGATCTGAGCCAAACCCCACAATGGCTGGCACACACAGGAACCAGGTCTGGAGTTAACCTCTGGTGAGGTTTCTTCGGGGAACCCCCAACTAGATCATTGGACTCAGAACTCCAACATGGGGAAAATGACAGGATCTGTGGTTCTGACCGTGGAGTGCAAGGGTCAGAACTGGGTCTCCTCAGGTGCTGAAGCCTGTACAGCTGATGGCATGCCCAGATGAACATGGGGGACACGACAACCAGCTCACTGAAGCCTGCTGAGGACATCCAGTACCACGGAGGGCAGAACAAATTGGACAGCTCTCCTGGCCAAGCTTTGACAGAGTATCTGGGTGAGTGGAGACTGAGGTGGACTATGTCAGCAAATGGATATTGGGAGGAGTTCCTCAACCTTGGAGCAGCTAAATCAACAGTGTCTCAGATCTATGAAAACCACTTAAGCAGTGCTCCCGGAATATGCTCCATATCAGGGACCCTTCCTCCATTCCTGGGCACTGACGCAGTTGGGCTGCTGGGAGTGGCCCTCTCCTCTCCTCTCCCCTCTTTCCCCAGACACAGGAAGAAAAGAGTAGACTGGAAATAGGTGTCTCATCTGCTTTCCCCCATTCCTTGACCCCCCCTACTCCGATCAGTGGTCCACATGGGCATGCATCCTTCTTAACTATGTAAACATCATTAAAAACAAAATAAATTTATTATTTAAAAAGTAAGTAAACTGAAATATACAAGAGGAGTGGTAAAATAGAGGCTAGAGCAGTACAAAAGACTAGTCTGGGATCAACAGACTCTATATGAGCAAAAAACAAATACTTTTTTGGCTAGGGAAGATACATGGTTTCACCCAGGGATATTCAATTCATAAACAAATAAGTTTGGTTCTTTTCAAATAAAATCTTACTTAAAAAACAGACAAGGGGGCCAGTACAACGGCTCAACTTGCTAATCCTTTGCCTTCAAGTGCTGGCATCCCATACGCGTGCAGGCTGTGTCCAACTGCCGCCCCTCCCATCCAGCTTCCTGCTTGTGATCTGGGAAAGGCAGGGGAGAAGACCCAAACCCTGGGGCCCGACACCCTCATGAGAGACTGCAAATAAGCCCCAGCTCCCGCCTTCAGCCCAGCCCAGCCCAGCCCAGCCCAGCCCAGCCTGGCTCCAGTAATCAGACCATCGGGGAGAGAAGCAGTAAATGATGATCTCTTTCAGTCTTTGCTTCTCTCTCTGAAATCTACCTTTTAAATTAAAAAAATTAAATGCATTTTCTTAAAAGTCAGCAAATATTTTAGGCTTTACAAATCAAGAATATGTCAAGGATATTATGCAGGAATTTAGATAATTTTCATGAATTTTTCATTGATTAAGCTGAAAATTTCAATTACGTATGCAGAGATTAAAATATTCTATGAGTCCTAACAGATTACTTCAACCATTTAAAGATGTACAAACTAGGCCCAGTGCGATGGCCTGGCAGCTGAAGTCCTCACCTTGCACACTAGGATCCCATATGGGCACTGGTTCTAGTCCCAATGGCCCCACTTCCCATCCAGCTCCCTGCCTGTGGCCTGGGAGGGCATTAGAGGACGGCCCAAAGCCTCAGGACCCTGCATCTATGTGGGAGACCTGGAAGAAGCTCCTGGCTCCTGGCTTTGGCTCAGCTGAGTTCTGGCTGTTGTGGCCACTTGGTGAGTGAATCAGCGGATGGAAGATCTTCTTCTCTGTCTCTCCTCCTCTCTGTATATCTGACTTTCCAATAAAAATAAATTTTTTAAAAATTTCACAAAATGCCAACTATTCAAACCTACCATTTAAAGTTATTTCAAATGCACCTGTTGACATACACTGGTTCTCAATCATGTTGCTCAAGAAGAAAACCATCATACATGCATAGACCTAAAAGAAAATAACAATTAAGCACAAGAGGCAAAGTCATTCTGAAGCCAAAACACCATCACAGACATAGTAATCTTCTCAATCTATAATTGCATTGTTTATTTGGCAAATTCTCTTTCCTAGACTACCTTACAGCTTCTATACAGGTTATGACTGCTATTCCATATGCCCAGATCATACACTCACGGCAAGAAAAATGTAGTATTAATTCACAGTTGTATATATACTGAAGAACAAAGTTATACAAAATAAAACTAAAAGGCAAGATTAGCTAGTTCGGCACAAAAAAAATATTTTTCCTAATTTATTTGAAAGAGAGAGTGGGACAAAGATAGACAGACACAAACACACACACACTACACTGCAGGCAATCTATTCACTAGTTAATTCTCTAAATGCCATTTAATCCGAATTCACGAGAGACGAGTGACGCAATAGTCAGCAACTCCATGTGTTCAATATAACCTGTTTATGTTTCAAACAAATCACTTTAAGCCAAAAAAGCAGCAAGAAAGCACATTAAAATCCATTCATTCATCTTTTGAAGGCCAATCTTTACTCTCCCTAAAGGGATTAGAAGCCCGTAGTTGGACAAAAGTTTTAATTTACAAATTCACTGGATTAAAGGTAGAATATAGTGAGAATGTCAATTCATAGCAAACCATTTCCAAAAAGTAACACAGATCTGCACAGGGGATGGGGCAAGCATCTCCCCCTGTGCCAGTTGCTCTAGACGGAGCTGCGTCATAAGGGTTTCCAGTACTCGGAAAGCCAAGCCTACTTTTACGGGGCCATCACACACTCGGCCATCTAGAAAGATCTTCTAAATGAAGTCAGTAGCACATACATCTACATACATAGAAGTAAAATGCACTAACAATAATTTGGAATTAACGAATGCAGCGTAAGTACTCAATTTCCAGTTTTTAACCCTCTGCAAATCAACACTGTTGGCAACCACAGAGATACACTTAAATTGAGAGAATACTGTGGCACATGTTCATGCTGTCCTGTTACTGGAAACAGCTGCTTCCATAAGGGACAAACAAAACCCCACAGCTATGCAGGAGTCTGCTAAAGGCATTCATTCTAAACTAAAAGACCAGGCAGATAACTCCAAAAGAGAACACTTCTTAAAGGGAAGCCAAAGCAATCCCATCCAAGATACAAAATAAAAATAAGGCCCATAATAGACTAAATGATAGACCCTCCAGAAGGGGGGAAAAACACAATGACTTTAAGTAAAATACATGAAAACAAATGTAATCTAGAAAAAAATGTATGTTGCAGTAAGATCCTATGAAGAAAAAAGAGGCTAAGATTCTTCAGCATTTCATACTTTTAGGCAATTCTGCCCAACAGATTGCGCAGAACCAAAAAATGATAAGACAAATATTTAAGAGAAAGATTTTGCAAAGAACAAATTAGTGAAAACTCCTTTTTCAAATGTGAACAATCTTTAATTCCTCATTCCTTGGTATAGAAGGCATATATTACGTATACATTATATATATATATATATATATATATTATGTTTTGCAGAAAATGATCTGACTTAAGCTACATAATAAAAAAAAAAAAAATCAAGTAAATAAATACTTTGAACCCAGCCTCTGCGTAAGTAACTTTTATGTTGCCAATCGCCCTCAGCACAGAAACGTGACACCTGAGCCCAGGGAGACTGAGTGATTTGTCCAAAGATAACATCTACTTAACAGTCAGTCAGTAGTAACAAATACACAATTTTAAAAAGTCATTAGCACCTTTTTCGCCGACAACCCACACGCCTATAGTTGCCAAAGCCAGCAAGTTACATACCTTATTCTCCTGGCCCCACTGCCAGATGCTAGGAGCTTGCATGCCAAAGAAAGCAAAAGGATCCTTGCCCACAATGATTAAGCCTATTAATACTAGTTTGAAGACTGACAGGAAAGATGCTATATGTCTGTCAAAACAAAGAAGTTCAAGAGAAGCTGTAATAATTCAAATAAATACATACAGACGATTTCTAAACACCAAACTTAATTACTGAAAACAGATGTACTGCAGTTATAATAAAAAGGTTTAATATTCCTATTTCTTTTCAAATCATACAAACCTTTTGCCTTTTTTAATTTAAACATTTTTTTTAATTTCCATAGGCTCTGGGATTCCCACCCCACCCCCACCAATTTCCCCTCTCTTATCACAATGCACAGTCCTTCATAAACATTGATCATTCTGCCATTTAAGTGTATCCTGACATCGTGAATATGGACAATGGCAGAGCCCAGCATCCCCTGCTACATTTTTTTTAAAAGATTCATTTATTTATGTTAGAAAGGCAAAGTTACAGGGAAGACAGAGAGATTGCTCCTCCAGCCACTGGGTCACTCCCTAAAGGACACCCATGTCTGGAGCCAGGCATATGCAGAGCAGGGATCCAGGGCTTTTTCTGGATCTCCCATACGGATGCAAGAGCCAGTGGCCTGCACCAGCCTCCACTGCTTTCCCAGGCCATAAGTGGAGATCTGAATGGAAAGTACAGCAACCAGGACTTGAACCAGCACCCACATGCGATGCCAGCACAACAGGCAAATGCTTAGCCTGCATTATCATACTGTCCCCAATCGTTCCCCCTCCAAAACACCTCTAATACTTTAAATCAATCAAAAATTAGCTCACACAATCCTAAAGAATCAGTCCTTTAAGACACTAAGCTAGAACAGCACAGAATACCACATGTTATCTGGAAAACTTCAGGAGTCATTGATTTATTTCCACTAAAACTACGTAAGAAATCATAGGTTTGGGCACGGCACGATGGCGCAGTGGTTAAGACCCTCGCCTTGCACGCCTGGAATCCCATATGGGCACCAGTTCTAATCCCGGCAGCCCCGCTTCCCTTCCAGCTCCCTGCCTGTGGCCTGGGAAAGCAGTTGAGGACGGCCCAAAGCCTTGGGACCCTGCACCCACGTGGGAGACCCGGAAGAAGTTCCTGGTTCCCGGCTTTGGACCAGCATAGCACCGGCCATTGCGCTCACTTGGGGAGTGAATCATCGGACGGAAGATCTTCCTCTCTGTCTCTCCTTTCTGTATATCCGCCATTTCAATAAAAATAAAATAAATCTTTTTAAAAAAAAAAAGAAAACATAGGTTTATAAATGCTGCCATCCCTAAAATAACCTTATTGCTTCACACAGAAAAAGCTGATTTGGATCAAATAAATGTGCCATGTATAAATGTGCAGTCTGAATATTAGCATAACTTATCAATTATAACAACCAAGGTAATCTACTTAGACAATTCACAAAAGCTTATAAAAATCAAATTCTGTTTTAAGTTCCTTAAATGTACTTACCTATATATTGGTTGAGGGAGGTAATTCTCGCCTTCGATTCGGATGTCTGGGTACCGCTGGCTGATGACCCGCATGTACTCCTCAAACACCCGCCGATACCCTCAGGACACACTGCAGACACAGGACGCAGTCAGACAAGGAGGATGCACAAAGCGTGTACATGCAGTTACGTAAGAATTCTTGATAAAATTAAAACGTTCTCTTAAGTTCTTTCACAAATTAGTAATAATGAAAGTTGGACGATGGGTACATAAAGGTTTGTGTATTTTCCGGTATTGGATTTTGCTTTGTTTTTCAAAATGTCACATGAGTTACTTCCTACTCAAATAAATTTTCCGTTTAAAACATTAAACTTCATATATTTTGGTTATTGCGGTCACACCTACATTGATCTCCCACACTGGTTAGCCTTCAAGAGGCTTATACAATGAAAACGATTTTCATTTATTTAAAATATAGTATTTTAAATTTAATATACAGAAATTTCAAAAAACAACAAAGCATGAGATATAAAACTGGTTTTTATTCCCACTCTCTCCCTAACTGGGCAGAGTTATTTGCTCAATCACAAAAGGAAGAAGTTAGACTAAACTCTTACTTATGAATTTAATACCTGATCATATTTTGTCAAAAATACACCAAGATTGACAGAGTAATTTTTAGCAATGTAAGAAAAAATGCTTATAATTACCCTGGAAATTAAATCAAAAGCATCTAAATCTTCTCCATTAAAGTCTCTTAATCATGCACCTTTGGAGCCAGAGCGCATTTACAGAGGGGAAAAGAGCATTACTGTAACAAGAGAATTGCAATCTGCGGTGAAGCTGACGAATCCCACACTGAGGCACGTGTGTCGGGAGGCAGCCGCAGCATCACTCTGCACAGAACTCGCCCAGTGCCCATGGTGCTCATTACGTCACACCAGAGTCAAGCCCCAAGTCCCGGCTTCCGCGCTTGCTTCCAGCACAGGTACTAAACCTGAAGTCCCAGCGTTCCAACAACCCAAGGGAGCAGCACGGAGATTTATAACTGATGGCATTCCAGGTGGGAAGATAAACTCACTAGTTTTTTCTTATATTATTTTATTTTTAAATATAAAAACTTTACAATTGGGTGGGGGGATGGGCCCGGTGGCGTGGCCTAGCAGCTAAAGTCCTCACCTTGAACACGCTGGGATCCTATATGGGCGCAGGTTCTAATTCCGGCTGCTCCACTTCCCATCCAGCTCCCTCCTTGGGGCCTGGGAAAGCAGTGGAGGACGGCCCAAAGCCTTGGGACCCTGCACCCCTGTGGGATACCCAGAAGAAGTTCCTGGATCCTGGCTCTGGAGCGGCATAGCATCGGCCGTTGTGCTCACTTGGGGAATGAATCATTGGACGAAGATCTTCCTCTCTGTCTCTTCTCCTCTCTGTATATCTGACTTTGTAATAAAAATAAATAAATAAATCTTAAAAAAAAAAAAAAAAAAAGAACAATTGGGTGGGGGGAGAGCAAGAGCAAGCGCCAGAGATTCCATCCATTGGTTCTCTCCCCGAGGCTGCAGAAGCTGGGGGGACGCCTGGAACTCCCCCGGGTCTCACATGTGGGCAGCAGGGCCCCACTCAGGACACTGCCGCAACCTTCCCAGGTGCACCAGCAGGAGCTGGACCCGGTGAGCAGGCGAGATTCAAACCAGTGCTTACATGCCAGCACTGTGGGTGGTAGCTGAGCCCATGAGCCAGGATACCAGCCCCTCAGCCACTTCTCTGGCAACCCTGTCTTCAAGTCTAAGTCTATCTATCCTTTGCTCTTCTGATCTCAAAAAAGTTTTAAGTCTCACACCTTTGGGTGAAACTCCAAGTAGAACTAGCTCATCATATGCAGCTCCAAAAGGATTTTTAAAAATGTACTTCCCCTATTTCTAAAAAAAAGAATCAGTTTGCAACACAAAACATTTTAGAGCTGTTTATTTATTAGGCTCCTCTTTTTATGTGCTTCAGTTTTATGAAGAAAAACCAAGGAAATGTTTTTCCCTATGAAATTATTTTCCCCAAACAAGTTTTCTGTTTTCACACCAGCAGTCAGTGCCGCAGACGATGTCTGCCAAAATAAAACACAGGGCAGGTGCACCAGCCAAAGCATCCCGGCAGACGCCCGCAGGAGAGGGACAGCTCTGAGTCGGCTGTTCTGCTTCTGTCTGGCTTCCTGTTAATTAGCACCTCTAGAGGAAGCAGGTACTGGGGCCCTTGCCACCCAATGTCCTGGCTTTCAGCCCTGGATGTTGTGGGCACATGGGAAGAAGGAGAAAAGCGGAGGGGAGGACAGGGCAAGGGAGGAGAGGGGAGGGCAGAAGAGGGGAGAAAAAAGAAGTAATTTTTTTAAAGTTCTAAAATTAAACATATCTGTAACCAGATAGGCAAATGCTAAACCAAAGGTATATATTGTAAGGAATCAGTCATCACTCCAAATCTACCAACTGCACCAGTTAACTATGTGAACACCTTAAAAATGTTGCAGCAGTTTGCTATTTTTCTGCCTGAGAACTAAAAGTTCTTAAAAAGTAACCCTGTTTGCTTCTCCTTTCCCCTCTCTATTTAACATTTTTACTCGAAAGGCTGTCAAAGGTCTTATTCAGGTTCCAGGGCTGGGGCAGGCTGAAGCCCACAGCCTGGAAGTCAGACCAGTACCCCCGTGTGAACAGCAGCGACCTGCTGCCTCTCCAGACGCACGCAAGCAGGAAGCTGGAGACAAGAGCAAATGTGGACTTGAACACAGGCCCTGTGCTGCGAGAGGGCGGCCTCCACGGGCATCTTACCTGCAGCAGCAAAGGCTCACCACTTGGAAGCACATCCAACTCTTGAAAAAAACAATCATAAACTTAAGTCCTAACACTATGCAAACTCCTTTCTTTCTCTCAAGCAAAGTTTGCTCAGTGCAGGAGAGCAGCTTTTTCCCTGGAAGCTGCTGGCACCAGGCCAGACCACATGAGCTGAGCGCAGGTGACCTCCACACAGCCACATCTTCTACAATGGAGTCCATAACTGGTCTCCTGACACCCACATGCGAGCCTGGGCAAGGGCCCTGCACCTTGCTCTGGCCCCAGTGCCTGCCCCCAGACTCCGTGGGTACTGGGATGGGAGCTCTACCTCTGCTCAAAAGTACGTAAATAACTAATAATTAGTTTCTAAGTCGTAAACAGGAGTGCTCATTCCTGTACATGGAGGAATTTTAAAGATGTGGGCCAGAACTTGCACAGTTCTCCAGAAAGTTGCACAGCAAGACTAAAGAGGTCGCACCTTATCAGATGAAGGAATTGTGTTACATGAATCTGGTGGCTTCCCCTGCTGGCTGCCTCACTCTTGGAACTCTGATGCCCTAACTGTAAACCCAGCACTCAGTCAGGCTAACCCCACCTGCGGCTCCAGCATCCGTACAGGCACAGCTCACTCCTGACTGCTCACTTCTGCTCCAGCCCTCGGCCAACCCCCTGGGAAAGCAGAGGCTGGCCAGAGGCCTCAGGCCCCTGCACACATTAGGGGAACACAGAAGAAGCTCGTGGCTCCTGTCAATCAGGGAGTAAATCAGCAGACCTAAGGTCTCTCTGTCTCTCTTCTGTAACTCAAGTAAAATAAATCAATCTAATAAATAAATAAATAAAATCTAAACACGCACAATGATTCTTCAGAGATTAAGAGTTCTGCCTTCTTTACTGGTTTTGTTTAAATGTTCACCTATTATCAATCTACAACAAATGTATAAAAAGACAAGATTAAACAATAGTACAACACAGCATCCAAAAGACCTTCTTAACATGGGCTTATCAAATAGTATAGATCACAATTATTTTTCTAAACTAACAGAAAAATGCACGGAAAACCTCTGACTCTTACAGTATGTGACTTATACTTCATTTTTTTAAATATAAAAAAATTGTTGAGGTATTTATTTTCAGTCTATTTGAAAGGCAGATATCTCCTATCCTCTGGTTTAGTAAAGGAGCAGAAGATGGTTCAAGTCCTTGGCCACCTGCACCCATGTAGGAGACCTAGAAGAAGCTCCTGGCTCCTAGCTTCAGATGGACTCAGCTTTGGTCACCGCAGCCATTTGGGGAATGAACCGATGATGAAAACTTTTCTGTCTCTCCTCTCTGTAAGCCTGCCTTTCCAATAAAAATAAATAAATCTTTAAAAAATAAAAGTTTGAGCCTGGCGCGGTAGCCTAGCAGCTAAAGTACTAGAACACACCCAGTATCCCATATGGGTGTCAATTTTAATCCCAATGACCCCACTTCCCATCCAGCTCCCTGCTTGTGGCCTGGGAAAGCAGTTGAGGATGGCCCAAAGCCTTGGGACCCTGGAAGATGGGGAACCTGGAAGACGCACCTGGCTCCTGGCTCTGGATCAGCTCAGCTCTGACTATTACTGCCATTTGGGGAGCAAACCAGCAGACAGAAAATCTTTCTCTCTGTCTCTCTTCTTTCTGTAAGCCTGACTTTCCAATGAAAATAAGCCAAATTTTTATGAAAAATAAATAAATAAAGAGATGAAACTCCTTCCCATGAATAAAACATTCCCTACATGAATAGCTGGTTTCCACTCAGCTTCATTTCGATTTTCCACTGACTCCTGAAACAATGTAATATGCCATTTCTGAGATTCAAAACTGTCTCTAAAGCCCACATGTTTCCTATTTCTGTTACAGCCAGGCTTCCCCCGCCCCGACGGTCACAGCAGTCCTCAGGATGAGCACCCCGGCAGGCCCACCGCCCCTCCAGCCCTCAGTGCAGCTGCCAGTGCAGCTGTCTCCCTTCCCTCCCTTCCTTCTCCCTTGCTCTCTTTCAGTTTATTTGAAGAGCAGAGAGGGAGGGCAAGTGAGAGGAAAGAGGAAGAGGAGGGGAGGATGGAGGGAAATAACTTAAATCTGCTGCCTCACTCCCCAAATGGCCCCAACAGGCCAAAGCCAGGAGCCAGGAATTCTACCCAGGCAAGGGGACAAGTAACTGGCCCATCCTCCACTAAGTTCCCAGGAGCATCAGTAGGAAACTGGTTTGGAAGCTATTTTAGCTAGGATTTGAACCAATATGGGATATCGGCACCACAGGCAGTTAGTTAACCCACTGTGCCACAACATGT